TCGTTGTAGGAGGTGTATGTCAGCAGGTCTCAGCCAATATTTTGGCCGGTATAATAGGGGTGTAGCGCTAAAAAATAATAATAATAATTATACGGTTTCTAGCACAAAACAACCTGTGAAAGTGTACTAAAAAATGTTAGAGCACAAATGTATATATATAAAAATATGAATCAAATCCCAAGATAATAAAATCAGCAGCAGACAGACTTGTTACGCCAAGCAGTAGTTAAAGTGCGCACTCACCGGAAGCGCATGGGTAATGCGCATGTGATATAAACCATCAAGGTATCTTGTAGATGGGCAGGTCAATCCGGTGAACGTATCCTCTATGGTGTAGTCATCAAGCTGTAATAAGTTGTCTGCTGAATCCAGAGGTCCCCTTAACCTCCTCGGCGGTATGATTCTTTCCGATTTTTTGTGCTGAAAGCGGTACCATTTTTTTGCATGGAAATATGTAGTTTTTTATTGTAGGCTGTAATTTTTAGGAATAACTCACTGAAATCTGTCCGAACAAGAGTCTATTAAACATCCCGGGTAGGATAAAATTTGAAACACGAAATCATAAATTATAATATAATAATCATAAAAAATAATAATATAATAATAATACATTTAATTCAATAATATAATGAAACCAAAAACACTGAAATTTGAAATACAGATGCAAATTCGCACATCGCTGAGCAAAGTCGCAAAATCGTTTTCAGTGTCTGATGACGAATTTCCCCCACGAATCATTATCACTCAATTCTGCAAGTGGTTCTGATTTACTATCGCTGTTCTAAAACCGCTTTTGACGTAAAGGGACGCTTTTTGGACGCCATGGACTTTTCTAAGTTTCCAGGCAGAAAAAACATTCAAAATGCAGGCAGGGCGCCGGACAAAGCACTCGGGGCAAAATGTATGTGAAATGCATTGAAACAGCAATGACAGCAAAAATGACATTTTTTAAAAATGTCAAATTTCCCGCCTCCGGCGGCACCCGTACGTCCCGACGTCACAGGGACCGGAACACAGAAGCCGGATGCCGGCATCGGCCGGAGAGGAGATGGCCGGGGACGCTGGAGGGGACACATCGCGGGAGCGAAGGACAAGGTAAGTGCTGCAGGGACCCCCAGAGCAACGCCACATGGTAAGCCCGAGTGTAGCTCGGGGTTACCGCTCTTGGTATAGAAATTTGACCCCGAGCTACACTCGGGAATACCGCCAAGGAGGTTAAGGATGGATGAGGTGCTCAGCCTGTGTACAGGGCTCTTGTTCCTCTGGTAATGCTGTATCACTGGGGTAACCTGCAGGCTTGATAGTCCTTTGAAATAGGACTTTGTAGGTACAAGGCCAACCAACTGAGTAATGCTGTGCGATAAATTCCGGCATGTTTCGCCCATCAGGCTTCCTCAGGGGGTATAGTTGTATCACACTGTACAGTGGAAGGGTTCTGCCATCTTTATTATTCACATGCTCCTGGCCAAAGGCCCTCCTCCTTTTACCAAATTTATTGCACAGTATTACTCAGTTGGTTGGCCTTGTACCTACAAAGTCCTATTTCAAAGGACTATTAAGCCTGCAGGTTACCCCAGTGATACAGCATTACCAGAGGAACAAGAGCCCTGTACACAGGCTGAGCACCTCATCCATCCTTAAGGGGACCTCTGGATTCAGCAGACAACTTATTACAGCTTGATGACTACACCATAGAGGATAAGTTCACTGGATTGACCTGCCCATCTACAAGATACCTTGATGGTTTATATCACATGCGCATTACCCATGCGCTTCTGGTGAGTGCGCACTTTAACTACTGCTTGGCGTAACAAGTCTTTCTGCTGCTGATTTTATTATCTTGGGATTTGATTCATATTTTATATATATCTACATTTGTGTTCTATTAGCGGACATTTTTTAGTACACCTTCACAGGTTGTTTTGTGCTAGAAACCGTATAAATATTATTTTTTTTTTTAGCGTTACACCCCTACTACTTTGAAGGTTTTACATTGGTACCTTTTGGTGGTTTAGCAGCTGCCTCTCAGGAGCGCTCACTATCTTTATTTTATACAGTGATTTTGGCCAGGACTCTGCCAATCTCCTACAGCGCATGGAGATGCAGAGCTGTGCCTGTATTTGTAAATACAGGCACAGGATCTAGCTGGTTCTTCTCTCCCTGGAACCCTTTTGTTCCAGAGAGAGAATAAAGAGACCACACATGAGTAAAAAACAGCACACTGCATGCGCACACATTAGATAGAGACATTTTGACCCCTTGATTGCCACATTAAACCCTTTGATTGCCCCCTGCCACCCTGCCAGTGCCATTAGTACAGTGTCAGTGTACAGTATTTTTCACTGATCACTGTATTAGTGCCACTAGCGACATCAGACAATGGCAGGGTCAGTGTCCCTCCCAGCTAGGGTCAGTTAGCATTTGATTGCCTGCACACTATCACACCTACGCTATAGTTCGCTGATCACTGTCATTACCAGTATAGTGTTTGTACGGATCAATATGTTGATCACGAAAAAACCTATATCAGTGCCCCTTAGTATTAGTGTCCCCAAAAACAGTGTTAGCAGGATCATCCCTGTTCACTGCCTGCACTAGCGTTTAGCCCCAACGCTCCCCCCCACCTCCAACAAGAAGTGCAGTGTCAGTATAATTTCTGATCACTGTCACCTGTAATACATTGCTCACAAAACCACAGTGTCCGCAAAATCAGACCTGATCTCTGCCAGCACTAGCAGGTGAATTTTATTGGTAGCGGTTCAAGCAGTCCCTGACAGCCAGGCACTCTTTTTCCCGTGAGTCACACAGGTACCTGTAAATTTAGAGTCCAACGAAAAGTACATTAGTGAAGAGGTCTACAGGATTCTGAGCATGTCAGGTGAGAGTGAAGGGGAAGACTCCCTGACAGAATCAGCCTCAGAATATGAACCTGTAGACAGCAGCAGCACCCTGACAGGTAGACTGGATGATGGAGAAGAGGTCCCTGTTAAGTTCAGGCCAGTACTAGTGCCGCACTACCTTTTGGTGAACTGGCGAGCACCAGCGGCCTAGTACATTCTGGTCTTATACATACCCGCACTGCAGTATGACTTGGTGACGTGGCGAGTCCCATAAATGCAGTACAAGCTGGTGCGGTGGCAAGCGCAAGTAGTGTCCCGCAGCCACCAAGAATTCACACACAGGCCCATAGAGCTCCTTGTATCCTTCTGGATGTGCTTGCAAATCCTGATTGGCAGTCCACAGATCCTGCAGCACCCGTACTTCCCCCATTCCCTGTCCAACCCAGAATTCAGATGGAAACAGCAAATGTAACTACTCCCCTTGATTTTATGGAGCTGTTTTTCACAGAAGATTTGTACAATTTGATTGTGGGCCAAAGAAATTTATATGCTCAACAATATATCACCCGCCAACCCAAATTCAAACCTTGCCAGACCATTCGCATGGAAACCCATTACAGTTTCCGAATTTAAACCTTTTTTGGATCTAGCCCCCAACATGGGCATTACAAAAAAGAATGAATTGCGGTTGTATTGGTCCACAGACCGATTCATCATATGCCGTGTTCTCTGCTGCCATGGCCAGGCATAGATATGAGAATATAATGCGCTTCATGCATTTCGGTAATAACATACTCTGTAATCCTCGGGGTGACCCTGAACATGACAGGCTCTACAAAATTCGGCCCCTCATAAACCATCTCACTGAGAAATTTGCAGGTGTGTATACGACCCAGCAAAACATCTGCTTGGATGAGTCCCTCATTCATCTTACTGGCCGCCTTGCATTCAAAGAGTACATCCCCAGCAAGCATGACAGATATGGGGTCAAATTGTATAATCTCTGTGAGAGGGCCACAGGTTATACATACAAATTTAGGGTTTATGAAGGAAGAGACAGCGAAGTAGAGCCCCCTGTCTGCCCAGACTACATTGGGAGCAGTGGCAAGATAGTTTGGGACTTGATGTCATCTTTGTTCCATAAGGGGTACCACCCATATGTGGACAATTTGTATACAAGCATGCCACTATTTAGACATCTGTACAATCTTGGAATTGGCTCATGTGGCACCGTGCAACCTAATCGCTAGGGCTTCTCCCAATAGCTTGTAAATACCTGACTTAGAAAGGGGGAGAAAGCCTGCTTGAGGAATGATGAATGGCTCTCAGTGAAGTGGAAGGACAAACGGAATGTTTTCATCCTTCTTTCCATTCACGCAGACACGGTATCTGGCGTTGTTGAGAAACCCCTCTGTGCCCACGACTATAACCTTAACATGGGAGGGGTGGACTTCAATGACCAAATGATGAATCCATACCTAGTTTCCCAGAAAGCTCGACACTGGTACAAAAAGGTGTCTATTTATTTATTTTGGTTGGCTCTGTATAACGTGTTTGTAATTTGCAAAGCAACTGGACATAGTGGATCCTTCCTAAAATTCCAGGAAGAGATCATCATGGTCCTTTGGTATCCAGAAGGTGTTGTGGCCCAATCCTCAAATCTAGATGCTGTTAGCTGGCTTCATGAGAGGCATTTTCCCGATGTCCTCTCTGGTACCCCAACCCAAAGGTCACACCAAAGAAGATGTCATGTCTGTATCAGACACAAAATAAGACACGACACCCGCTTTTTTTTTGTCCCTCCTGTCCTGGCCAACCTGGTCTCTGCCTCAAGGACTGCTTCCGTCACTACCACACACTAGTGGAGTATTAGTATAGGGTACATCACGGCACAATTCAGGGCACATATTCACCGTTCTCACAAAGGGTCTCAAAAGATGTTAGCTAGTCAGGAAACTGTTCATCACATTTTGAGAGATTCGAAACTCAGAGGTTGTTACAAAAAAAGTAAAAAAATAAAATAAAAAAGTTAAAAAACATTCAAAAATGTAAAAAGTTGTTTTTTATCGAGTTTTATTGAGTTGAGATCTATTGTTACTTTGTTCTATTGTTAACCGTTTGCTTCACAGAAACACCATTCATTTGTTGGTTTGTTGAGTTAATGTTCTATTGTTACTTTGTTTATCGTTAACCACCTCCCACCCGGCCGTTGTATATAAACTGCCGGACGGTGGCAGTGCAGAGTCGGGTGGCCGTTTATAAACGGCCTCCCTGCCCCCTGCTTGTGCGCGCTCCCTGGGAGCGTACAGCACCGCGATCCAGTGCCCGCTGTGTCCTCCGGTCACAGTGGAAAACCGATCGTCGGATGGTCCCAATCATGTGATCACTGATTGGCCAATCAGTGATCACATGCAGAGTAGTAAGCAAGATGTCACTTCTGACATCATTGCTTACTACGTGTGAAATCTGTGAATGATCACAGAGGTCACATGGTACAAGGCTATTCACAACAGCCTTGTACCATGTAACAAACTGTGACCAATCACAGCTCACTCAGTATTTCTCAATGGCTGCAGGAATGCAGCCAGAGAGAAGGAGAAATGATTGCTTTTACAGCCTTTATGGGTCAATCAGTGTAAAAAAAAAAATCTTCATCACCCCCACAAGTAGTACAGTGTCACCATGGTGTGACAGTATGTAAAACAAAACATAAATAATAATATAAAAAAAAAAATAAAAATGTAAAAAAAAAATGTTTAAAAATTATAATTTTTGGTTATAAACTAATTTGGGTTATTTTTTTTTTTTTTTACTAAAAAGATAACGGAATAAATTTTGGCCAAGATTTATGATGAAATATTATTTATTTGCAAAATTTTATAAGAAAAACACTTTTTTTTCAAAATTTTTGAACTTTTTCAATTACATAGCAAAAAAAAATAAAAATCGCAATAAATGCCACCAAAATAAAGTTTTATCTGTCTCAAAAAAGGCTAAAACATTCATATGGGTACAGTGTTGCATGACCGCGCAATTGTCATTCAAAGTGTGATAGTGCTGAAAGCTGAAAATTGGCCTGGACAGGAAGGGGTGAAAGTGTCCGGACATGAAGTGGTTAACCATTGTTTTCTTTTCAGGAATGTAATTCAGCTGCAGCACTGACCTGTTTATTCTGACAGCAACAGGGTCTTGCTCTCAGAATATACATAAGTCAGTTTGTGCAGCACTGTTGGATGAGAGTTTTCATCTGCAGTTAAAAAAAGAGCATATATGCCGAAGCATGGGGGCCTGGGGTGGCCATTGGTTGGATGACCCCTATGCTCCAGCATATATATTTTATATTATTTGTTGGCACATTTCATGTAAAGTGGGTGGATGCAGGGCGGTATATTCTAATAGTGGGCATATCACACACACTTTTTCTGGCAGAGATTTCTTCTCTTTTTTATTTAGCTCACAGACTGTATGAAAAAAAAAGAACATAGCATATATACCCAACAAGGACCAGCGACGTACTGGTCCATCACTGGACTTTGAATGGTTATACCAGGATGATGCCTACAGCTGCAGATATCATTCTGGTGTCGTTTTTTTTTTTCAGCCGATGATCGTCTTTCATGTAAAAGCAATCCTAGTGCCTAATTAGCTGCAGGATTGATTTTACAAGCAGTGGAAGAAGATCCCCTCCTCCCCCGTTGCCTTCCACGGCCTTCTTGGGCAGTCCCGTGGAACCTGAGAATGCAGCCGGTGTTTCTGCCAGCTGACCATAGAGCTGATTGGAGATTGGAATGGCACCAATCATCTCTATAGTCTAAGAAATCAGAAGCTACGAGCATTTCGTCACTTCAGTTTTGAGGATATAAACAGCGCCATTTGTAAATTGGGAAAGCATCTGATCACACCGATCTTGGTGACATGAGATAATGTAAGGGCAGGGGAGATATCCAGAGTCTGATAGACCCCAGATCTCTCAAAAAAGAATATATGATAATACCCATTGAAGTTATAGGGGATGTTTGCATTCCCTGTGATAGCATTAAAAGTGATAAAAAATAAATAAAATGAGACAGTGTAAAAATAATTAAATAAATCAAAATAACGTAAAAAAAACCCCACCCTCACCACCCTGCGCGCACAAGCACCTGCGTGTGTGAGTTTTGACCCTGTGCCAGTATGTAAACAGTAGTTGCACCATGCATGTGATGTATCGCCACGAACGTCAGATCAAGGGCAGTAATTCTAACACTAGACCTCCTCTGTAAATCTAAAATGGTGGCTTGTAAAGGCTTTTAAAGCGTTGCTTATGGATATTAAAAATGTATGCACTTTGTCACCATTGCATGGGACAAGCGCAGTTTTGAAGCATGTCATGTTTGGTATCTATTTACTTGACATACCATCATATTTTATATTTTACCAAATAATTGGCCAATATACTGTGTTTTTGTGCATTGAAAGTAAAAAAAATAGCATTTCTTTCCAAAAATTGCGTTTAACAAAATCGCTGCACGAGTACTATGTGACATAAAAAAAACTGCAGCGCCCACCATTTTATTCACTAGGGTGTTTGCTTTAAAAAATATATAATGTTTGGGGGTTCAAAGTAATTTCTTAGCAAAAAATACAGATTTTTTTCATGTGAACAAAAAGTGTCAGAAAAGGCTTGGTCTTCAGGTGGTTAGAAGAGTGAGTGATGTGTGGCATAAACTTCTAATGCTGCGCATAAAATGCCCCCACCCCCCAAAACAACCCCTTTTTGGAAAGTAGACACCCCAAACTATTTGCTGAGAGGCATGTTGAGTCAATAGAAAAATGTATTTTTTTACCTCAAGTTTTTGGAAAATGAAAAAAAAAATGTACACAAAATTGTCCCTTAAATGATTTATTGCTCACACATGCCATGGGCATATGTGGAATTACTCCCCAAAATACATTCTGCTACTTCTCCCGAGTATGGGGGTACCACATGTGAGAGACATTTTGGCAGTCTAGCCAAGTACAGGACCCCAAAATCCAATAAGCACCTTCAAGCTTTTAAAGGGCTTTATTCCTCATGACACTTCCAGACTACCTATCACAGTTTCAGAGGCCCTGAAATTCCAGGATAGCACCAACCTCCCCCCCAAATGACCCCGTTTTGGAAAGTAGACACCCCAAGGAATTTGATAAGAAGCATGGTGAGTATTTTGCAGATCTCGTTTGTTGCCACAAGTTTTTGGAAAATTTTTCTTTTCTTTTTTATATTTCAAACCCTTGCGAGGAAAAATGAGATCTGAAAAATACTCACCATGCCTCTTTTTAAATTCCTAGGCATGTATACTTTCTAAAAAGGGGTCATTTGGGAGGGGGGGTGCTATCCTGGCATTTCAGGGCCCCCGAAACTGATAGGTAGTGAGGAACTGAAATGAGGAAGTTGCGCACCTTCAGGCTTTCAAAGTGGTCATTGGATTTCAGACTCCTGTACTGTATGTGGCTAGGCTCCCAAAAAGTCTCACACATGTGGTATCCTCATACTCATAGTAGCAGAATGTATTTTTGGGTGTAATTCCACTTATACCCATGGCTTGTGTGAGAAATATATAATTTAAATGACAACTTTGTATAAAAAAAAAATGTTTTTTGTCATTTTCCATAAACTTGTGGAAAAAAAAAAATCTTCCATGGACTCAATATGCCTCACACAGCAGATAGCTTAAGGTGTCTACTTTCCGAAAAGGGGTCATTTGGGGGTGTTTTGTACTATCCTGGTATCTGGGGGTGTTTTGTACTGTCCTGGTATCTGGGGGTGTTTGTACTGTCCTGGTGTTTTAGCACCTGAAGAAATGTGATGGGCAGTCAGAAAGTAAAAGCTGTGTAAATTCCATGATCTATACCATAGTTTGTAGACACTATAACTTTCACACAAAGCAATCAATAGGCAAGGGTGTGTAAAAGGTTTACGGGGTGAGCACTGCCCTGTGTAACATGTGCCAATACAAAATAAAAAGTAAAAATTCCATTCGACTGGGAGCAGTAATTGAGTAAAACGTTAAAAATGTCTGATTTATTTAAATATTATGCCTGGGGGTGTCCTAATTCTGCCTGTGAATGGGGGCAACTCTCTGCTATATTTCGGGGGGGGGGGCTTTTGATAGTGAAATTCCTTTTTACCACAATGTGAAGCAAAGATTACATTTTTTTTTTTATTCTTTGAGAGTCTGGTGTAGATTTTAGGGGGAGCCCACATAAAAATACATAGCGTACCCCCCCCCCCTATATATCCATACTAGATCTTTAATCTGCAGTCTGCATACAGACTGGTTTGCCAGGAAAGGGGGTGGGTCCACCTCCTGAACCATAGCATAATAGGGCACCCCCCTGACAAACCATCTTGTTCCCATGTTGATGAGGACAGGGCCTCTTCCCCACAACCCTGGCCCAGTGGTTGTGGGGGGTCTCATAAGAATCTTGAAACCCCTTTTAGAAGGGATATGAGAGCAGGAATAGGTCCCCCAGTTGCTGTCCCCAAGTGAACAAGTATGGGTTACATAGCACCCCTAGTCATTTCAAAAAAGATGTAACTTAGCAGTACAGACACACAAACATTTTTTCAAGTACCCTATTAAAAAAACAAAAATCCCCCAGAAAATGTCCCTTGTTGCAAATCCATCATCAATCATCATAGCCACTGATTCATCGAAAAGAAAACCCGACGGGTCTAGAGCACAAGATGATCCCAATGGTACTCCTCACTGGATGACCGTTCCCCTAGCTTTCATCAGCTATATAAGGGAATGAGGGTGGACAGGGGTTACATCATTGACAAATATGGCCGTAGACATGTAGTGCAATCCTGAGGTGCTCCTTAGGAACCAATGACAGTGGGAAGCTGTTGTATACACAGGCAGTATCAATACCGCTTCTATCTATAATGCTTGGCTCCAGTTGAGCTGACCGGGGAATAGTTCAGTCTGAACCTAGGTTTGGATCAAACAGCTCATCCTTAGTGACAGCAAATCACTATCATTTAAAAACACATTTAGCTGGGAGAATTACCAGCAGTGAATCTTTGTTGAATGTCATATTCACTGCTTTATACACAGGGGCGGACTGACAACTCATGGGGCCCCCGGGCAATAGGGGATCATGGGGCCTCTGTGTCATTGCCCAAACTCAAAAAAGCCTATAAAAAAGATACCAGGGGCATCTCATGGGGCCCCCTACTGACTCAGGGCCCTCGTGCAGTGCCCGAGTTTACAAATGGTCAGTCCACCCCTGTTTATACATGTACCCTGAAGTTCTCATCAGGCTGAATTTTTGCTTTACTGTGAATAGTCTTTCTTGTGAACATCCCTGAATATTAGGAGATCATACACACAAGGTATTAAATGACATCACCCCTCTCTCCTGCCAGAGATGGGACCATCTAGATTGTCAGTTCTCAGGAGCTGTCTATAAGGACATGACGTCACTATTTATCAGAGACAACAACATGGCCTGAAGACAAAATATGATGGAAAATCACATGACTTAACTGTATATTGG